GAGAAACTTTGACTTTTATGTTAGTTTTTTAGTGAAAAGCATTTATTTAAATCAGAAAATTCTATATATTTCATTAAAAATATTTTAGTGTAATCTCACATCTGTCAATCTTCATAACAAAGTCTATATTCAGAGTTACTTTTGAACATTTCTAAAATACATCAATTTCAAATCACATCTCTTGAGGATAATTTGAAAAAGCAGAAACCAAGAACTGAGCCGGGGATTTAGCTCAGTGGTTCCACCGCCTGCCTCGCAAGCGCAAGGACCTGAGTTTGATCCCTAGTACTCCCCACAAAAAAAGAAACCAAGAACTGAGAATAAAACATATGGTTAAGCTGAATGGTGATTAGGAGTCTCCATAGCTATACAGTTTAGAAAGATAAAAGAGAGATAAAGTACATTTATGCCTTAGAATCACACCCTTAAATCAATCAGGAAAGAAAGGAGGTGGGACAGGTTTCAAAAGATTTGCCGGGCTAAGGTTGGGCTAAATGAGGAGTAGGTGAAAGTCCCCATCCACCAAAATGTAATCAATAAAATTTGTTCAGTCTTTTCAGATTCAGGTATCTGAAAGACTACATTTATGGGACACAGATGGGGGCAGGAGCTAATACAGACCACAAATAGAAAAGAGAACACTATAACCAAGGGAAACATAAAACGTTGTAGCATCACTCGCTTTTTCAATTATTTATTTATAGTGCTGGAGATTGAACCCAGGGCCTTCGTACTGAGTCCCTTTTTGATTTTAAGACAGTCTCCCTAAATCGTTAAGTTGCCCAAGCTGGGCTCAAACTTTTGATTCTCTTGCCTTAACCTTCCTAAGTGCTGGAATTACAGATATCTGCCACCAAGCCCAGCTACTTGCTTAAAGTTGATTTTAAAAATCTCTAATTTTTGGAGATCACATCTTAATTTCCTCGGGCCGGGGATTTAGCTCAGTAGCAAGCGCAAGGTCCCGAGTTGGATTCCTGGTACCAAAAAAAAAAAACAACAAAAAAACCCCCTAACATCTTAGTTTCCTACTAGCTTTATTGTAGATTGTACCTTTGACTAAAGGCGCCTAACTGGTTAAAATTATTCTACAGCCAAGTTGCTTTCTGTTCTCATTCTCTGTTCTGTATCTTAAATTGTAAGGGTAACTATTCTTAAGAAATAAAAGTAAATAGACATGAGTCACTGAACTTCTTAATCATTAACTTTTCTTCAGACTTAGTGAAAACAGGATATCTGACAACTTTCAGATAACAACAAAATGTGCATTATCTACCACAAAAAGCATCAGTTGCTAATCCTATTCTTTAACTCAAAGTAGGAAGTGTAGATAATCTTAATTTGAAGGAAAACAATGTGTTCGTTCATTACAGAGATTGACCTGGAAGATGAAGGTGGATTATTATCACTGGATGTTCTGACAAAGAAAAGCCAGGAGGATGACAACAACAACAACAACAACAAACCCACTGAGGCTTGATGGTTATCAAGCCTGGATGCAGGATTCAGCAAGTAGTCTTCTGGTCCACTGCCCCTGCTCCTGTTTCCCCTCCCTATAAAGGCCTTGTTT